ATCGACGAAATCGTCGAGCTGCGACCATGGCTGACAACGAAGCAATGAGAACGGTACTGGCTGCTCTATATCATATGGTGGAGTTAATACGCAATCAAGATATGACTGATAAGTTGCTGAGTGAAGATTCTGGTCTGTCAGCGAGAAGAAGTGCTTTTCTTGCGGAATTAAGTATGTGTAATGGCTTATTAGGTGCACACTTATTTCGTAATCATCTACACTTCTAGACGAACCTCTTGATCACGTCCATCAACCTCTATTGTTGGTGTTGTTTGAAATGTTGCCACCATTTTATACTGGAGCTTCCCCTCACTATCCCATCAAAAAGGTAGGAGTTTCCTAAAGCTGTGATGCTTTTCAATTGAGCTTATCTCAAAGTCGTACTCTAAATTGATCTCTAGATTTTACTTCTCATCTGGAAAATTTTGCTCGCTACATTGGGCGGCTGGCGCGCGTTAGATGCCTCAAAAACAGCCAAGCGGGCTGCTCTGGGATTACCAATCATGGAGAACACTATCGAGGTTGCATCTTCCTTGTCTGCTACTGTCATCAATGACACTGAAAGTGGTATGCATTTGTGTTCCGTACATTTCTGAAAAAAAAAACGAAGTGCAGGCGAGAGCAAACTTGTTTGAACACAGTCTTTTTTGTTGTAAGCATCAGAGAAAACTCACACGCTAATGAGATATTCCAAATAAAGGCTTTTTGTCGCTATTTTATCGCAATTTTGGCACGATTGAACATTCTTCTAGAAATACAATTTTGGCACAATTGAACATCCCCCATATTCCTTTCTAATATTGAACAGACGAAATCGTCTCTAATTCATAAGATTAAAGTAGAACAGTTTTAGGTGCAAGGGTAGCATCTCGCCGAATTGTGCCTATCGGTCGTGTTATGGCTCGACAGCTGGCTTATACGGGCTCGAGTGAAGAGGCTAAGGACGAGGAGATTGACATAGGTAGGCAGATGGCATAGGTTTAACACATAGAATCACTAGAGTAATGGAATTATAAGGAGCAATTGCCGGAGAAGATTTTGGTGACAATGACGGATCATCAAGGAAAGGTGAGGGTACTTTTGCATTGTAGGTTCCCTTGAATCGTCATTTCCCGCAACTTATTCTTCTCAATTGAAGTGAGTGAGCTACGACAAGTAAGCAGTGGTGATCGGACACCTAGAGCTGGTTCGCCTATGCCGCGAGAACCGCCGAAGCGAAGTTTACCTTGGAAGAGTAAAGTGTCCAAACAGGAGATTGAGGCATTCCTTCAACAGGAAAGGTTTGTACTTTGATTGTAAGCTGTTTTGGTATATAAAAAGCTACCAGTCTCCGTTTCAAGACAGAAATTCTTTTCGTATCAATTACCTGGTGATGTGGATACTATGTTTGCCTTGCCGATTCCTATCCATAGAAGTGTGGAAACGTTG